CCCCCCAAAAAAAAAAAAAAAAAAAAAAAAAAAAAAAGCACCTAAAAACAAATTCTTGTTTGGTAATTTCATCGTTCAGTTTAAAATAACCAGTAAAAACTGTTTCAGTAAAATTCAAATTTCGATGCTACCACTTTCAATTGGGTGAAAGTTACACCTTACATTTTTTATAACCGATTAATAGTCATAAATATAGTCTAAAATTTTTCAGCTAAAAAAAAATTAGTCATATAACTGTTTAACAAATACTTCTGATAAGTTAACCTTAAGTAAACATTTATTTCAATTACGAAAACTTTTTTGCAATTTTTTTACTGTCCCGTAGAATTTCCATTTACAGAAATGAGGTAAAATCGTTGAAGTGGAGAAAAACAAACATTGCAGAACTAATCTGCATACATTATATGTCCGTCTTCACGTCACTAAAATATTTTCCAGATAAATTTCAAAAATAACGTAAATGTACATTAAAAAACCTCCCTTCTACAAGTATAAAAAAGGAATCAACTCAAGTAGTTTAAAAGATTAAAAAACGCTATAGATTTGTGCAAAAAAAAAAAAAAAACTGGAATTGCTAACAATTGAAAACCAATCTGTCCCCATGGCTTCGCTAAATGGTTTCTAAGTACAGTTCAACGTAAATGGATACAAATTTCTATACCGGTAAATTCTATGTTCAATTTAAAAATCGCTATTTTTGGTAAGTATCTCTTTTTTCTCTTTTGAACAAGCAGCATTCCATTCGTCTAAACGATAGCTGCAACTGGCTGCCTAACTTTGTAGCAGAAGAAAAAGGGCTACAAAAAGTACTATACAATTATAACCAATGTAATAGAAATTGCAAGAATTCTAAAACAGCAAATATCGCCCCATCAACCGCAATACATATATAACATAAGTGGATAGTGTATAAACAAATAATAAATACACTTATATGATGTATGCGTCAGACGATCAATGTATTAATATAGAAGTTCAAAAGACCTATAAAAAGATGTTAAACTGTTTCAAAAGAAGTTAAAAGTCATTTTTTTTTCTTTTGTCCTGAACCGAGTTACGAAGGTCAAATGGTCGACATGAGACAGTACGCTACAAAATGTTTTGGTTAAATAAACTATTAAACTTTTTTATTTGAGCACAAAAGTCGGCTTAACAAAATAACTTAGATTAACCTAATCAAGGGCAAGGACATCAAATATTTCGCGGAATATAAAAAAAAAACTTTTCTTCGAAAATCCAAAAGAATTTTGTAAAAACCGTTATGTATAAATTGATAACTGCTGTCGACTGGTTGTCTTGTTTGACTAACTGGAAAGTTGCAGGCGTGAGATGGGTGAAATCTCATGTGTTCAAAATGAATCCAAATAAATAACCGCCGTAATCCGCATTCTTCAGTAATAGATGCTCTTCCTCTATCTTATTTGTCCAGTTTATCAAGATTTTTAAGAGGACCTCTAAAGCTGTCGATAATAATAATAAATTTATACCGCGCATAAAAGAAATGGGAACAAATTCGCAGTGCAGAAATGCCTAAGTTCACAAAAGTAAACAACTTAATTCCTGTATAAGCGTTTTCTTTAACCCGGTCCCTAAATCAAAAAACTAAACGCTTACTGCTGCCAACAACATAACCTCTAGATTTAAAAAATTCAAATACCATATAAAAATTCAAAGATTAATAAAGAAAGGATAGCACTGCCTTTAGGTCAACATAATTCTTAACAAATACAACAGCTCTCAATCCAACATCTTATCACAGTTCTTGAATA